TTTAAATCATTGATAAGTCTGAAAGGTGTGTGGAAGCATATTACATCTGTAATACACACTGATACATATCTACAATGTACACTTCTGTTTGCAACCAACAAAGAATTATTTTCTTTTAGATAAAAGAAAAGCTACCTGCACTAGTCCCCAGACTGTGGTCAACGGTGGGTCCAGTATTGATGGACTTTGTGGCCGCCTTTCTCCGGGTCCAGTCAAACTGGTCCGATGTGTCCTGGGTGAAGTTGCAAAGGTCTGTCTGGAATGTGCACACAGAGCTGTATGCCGAGCTCTTAGAACCTAAGAGAAAATGTTGTGAATCTGTGAGAGCCTTCCATCACAGGTGGTAATACATGAGAATAAATAACAGATTTGCTGATTACAAATTTTTTTAAAATGAGTAATACAACAATTCAAAGACAGTCAAGATTGTTTGAAAAATATTTTGAACTTCTGCATAAAGGGCTGGGAATTAGGCACAGCTAAAAGACAACTTAATGGGAAGTAGTAATTCAAACACACTTTTGTATTCTGATCATAAAAACAGTTGACTGAACACCCTACCAAAAGAATTGGAAAATTAATTAACGTAACAGGATAGAAAATTTGTGGGCTCATTAGTTGATAACTAAAAGCCCATAAATGCAATTTTAGTTGTGTTACAATGCGGTCGGTAGAATCAGGCGCTCGTCAATTTTTGGGCCTGATGAATTATAGGTATCATCTTAAAGCTTGTTCATTTGTCTATATTTCAATGAGGAAAATACTCATACATCTTTAACAGAAGTCGAGATATTTGGGATTAAAGGAGGTGGGGTAGCCTGGTTTCATGGGTAAAATTAGCGAGAAAATGGCCACCAAAGTTTGGTGATTTTGATAGCTAGAGAGTCCTTGGAAACTGAACATTTACATTTTTGTGTCTTTAATCAACGTTTTTCAGTCCAATCCACACAAAAGTTGTGATTTTAATGGATATAACGGGTGTTGGCCAAATAGAGACAAAAATACAATAGAAATCACCAAAACCAGCCGCAAAATGCTGATATCTTTGATTTCATAATTTTGACGAGCGCCCGATTTCACCACAAAGCCTCACAATGATATTATTATAACAATGCCCACATTACCTGCTCCACAGGGACCGGGTGTCATCTTGATATCATCTAGAGCAACATCTCCCTCGTAGCTGCTACCTTTGATGCCTTCAAACACAATCTGAAAGGTAGTTGGAGCAGAGAGGCCAGTTAGGGGGGAGTATAGTTTAGTCTTCTTTCTTCCACACATTCTCTCACATACAAACAGTGTAAGGTCTGGAGCAGACATTGACAATCATTGTGCCTCATTCCTTCTTGATGTCTCTCTTCCTGATCATTCTGATTTTCCTCTTTGAGTTATTCGTCGCAGAAGTTGTTTAGGCCACCTGTGTATGTTGGTTGCACTTTGTCTTCCTCTAGCTCTTCTTTCCCTCGACCTGCCCAGACAGCAGCAGTTTCTCTAATTCATTTGATCTATTTATATGGACAAAGAATCTCAATTGTATTTTTCTGATGGTTCTGATTATAGATTTCACATCCTGTCATTTGGAACACTTCTTATTTGTTTTCTTCTCTGCCCATGAGATTCTGAGTATTTCTTCTTAAATGCCAAATTTCAGCAGCCTCCAGGTTCCTCTCTGTGTCCTTGTATAGAGTCCAGTTCTCGCATCCATACAAAAGGATTGAACATACGCATGTTTCAGGGTTCTTATTTTTGTGAGCGCTGTTAGGTTTCTGTTTGAGACAGTAGGTTTCATCTTGCCAAAAGTTTCTTTAGATATTGCAATCCTCTTTTTTATCTGAATGTCATTTTTTTGCATCTGGCATAATTGTGCAGCCACGGTATTTAAAGCTGTTGACCTGTTTTATTCTTTCGTTCTTACACGTGATGTTGCATCCTGGGATGCCAGAACTTTTTTAGATCACCGTGCCTTCCATTTTCTTGGCATTCAGTAGTAGGCCCTTCTCTTTGCTTTTATCTGTCATTCTAGTTAGAATCTCTTAGAGCTTAGACTCACAGTCAGCATCGAGACTGTATAATCAGTGTACCATAGGTTGTCATTATTGTGGCTGCCTACCTTCACTCCTATATTACTACTAATGATACACAGTATCATTTCGCTGTATACATGACTAACCGAGTTTTTTCCTCTAAAATAAATCATCTATATTGACCGGTACCAGAACTCACTTTGAACGAGCGTGACACAGAAATGTCCACATCGGCCTCTTTCCATGGACGTCCCTGAGAGCCTTTCTTGGTCCATGTGGGGGTGGGCAGATTGAGGCCAGTCATGACATAGACATTGAGGCTGTCTACATGACGGCCATACATCTGGTAGAAGAATCTGAAAGATTCAGAGAATGTATTATTATTGTTCACAGTTTATTATCTTTGGGGGATGTGAATGTGTATATGAGTGTGTATGTAAGTTTGTGAGTGTATGGATATTTGTGTGTGTGTGTGTGTGTGTGTGTGTGTGTGTGTGTGTGTGTGTGTGTGTGTACATGCATGCACACATTTATGTGTGTTTTCGTGTGTGTGCTTGCGCTTGTGTTTGTGTGCCTGTGCATTTGTGTGTGTATGTGTGTGTGTCTGTATGAGTGTGTATGTGTGTCTGTATGTGTGTGTGTATAAGTGTGTGTGTATGTGTGTTTATGTGTGTGTTTATGACTAATTGAAGCACTCAATTCCTACAGAACAAAGACTAGTAGTACCTGATACAGTACTGGCCAGCATCAATAACAGGGCCGATGATCCTTGCCTTGTCTCCTGTCTTCTGAGGGAAAGACGTCTCGATGTAGATGTATTTGCCAGCTGAGGAAACAACCAACACAAATAGTCAGCCAGCTGTTCAGATGTACTTAGTGGGTGGTTGGCGGGTGCTCTGGTGTGGTTTGCTTCTTCTTTCCTAACAAACATCTATCATCCTTATCTCTCCTTCTTTTATTTTGTGTTTGTTACTCTTTTGTTACAACTCTAAATCTTCGGCACTTATATGACCTTATTGTGTTGCAAGTGCTGTAAAACACTTACCAAAACTAAACTAAGATGTGCTTAGCACAAAGTTTTGAAAAAACGTTTAAAGTAGTTTCTTCCACCATGGTATCAGTAGCATGATCTTGACAAAAATTTTGCTGAATTTTGAATTCTTCATCTTGAAAAAAGCAAGAAAAAGTACATCATGTAGATACTATTTTTACAAGAATCAAACCATCTGTGAGGCAGCATGATAAAATCAGGCTCTCGTCAAAATACTGCAATCAAGGAAACTCATTTTTTTGGAAATTCTCCAGGTTTTTTTCAAATTTTCTGTATATGCCTAAACACCTTCTATGTCCATTTAAGGACACATTTCTGAGTGGATTTTACTGAGGGACATTGATCAAAGGCACAAAAAAGGTAAATTTGTTGTTTCAAAGGACACTTAAGTTTTGAAAGTCACCAAACTTTGGCAGCCATTTTCTCGCTAATTTTACCTCTGACACCAGGTGATCCCCACTACTTTCAATCGCAAATAAGTCAACTTCTTTTCAAGATAGATGGGTATTTCTGTCCCCGAATGCAAAACACATGGACAAGCCTTGAGATGATATTAGCAACTCCATGTGACCAAAAATTGATGGGCTGCTGATTCCACAATGGTATGACCCATTTTCTCTCTCTGCTTCAAAAAGTTGCTTTCTGGGCTTATTTCAGTTGAACAGCTTGCCAACGAAATATATGATTCATTATTATAAACTTAAGTGATTAAATCATTAGAGTTACTGGTAAAAACTGCTCTATAATAACAGATAACAGTAATTGTACTGTACAGTATAGGTTTAAATTTCTGTCTTGTTATGTTGGTACAAGAGGACAGTTAGTGGTTGGTTAGCGGGAGCTCTCGTGTGATTTGCTCCTTCTTTCCTATCAAACATTTATCGTCCTTATATCTCTACTTCTCTTTTGTGTTTGTTACTCACTTGTAACTCTTCTAATCTTTTTGGCATTTATATGACCCAATCATGTTGCAAAAGCTGTAAAACACTTATTAGGCTACACTAATACAACAAAAGGACAATTAGGTCAATGCATACCAGAATATGGTGGCTGTAGTGAGTTTCTGAAGAGAATAAAATTTAATTATCTGTAACCTAATATTTAGTCTTGTGCCAGTCTCTTAATCTTTCTGTTTTATTTTGAGGCAAATTTTACCTTCATTTTTCCAATAGCAACATTGTGAGCATCTAGTGTAAGAAAGGTACATCCCGTTCCAAAGGACTTCAAAGAAGACACTGGACTATTTTGTTTGTGTGTGTGTGTATATGATTTTGTGTGTGTGTGTCTGTAGGCACAATTGTGTAAATGTGTGTGTGCGTGTGTGTGTGTGTGTGTGTGTGTGTGTGTGTGTGAGTGTGTGTGTGTGTGTGTGTGTGTGTGTGTGTGTGTGTGTGTGTGTGTGTGTGTGTGTGTGTGTGTGTGTGTGTGAATAGGAACATGTGTGCGTGTGTGTGCGTGTGTGGGTGGGTGTGTGTCTGATCCCACCCATTCTTTATTGTCCTGTCCCCGTGGTTTTATGCATCCCGCATAATTTTGCAAAATGGGATCATTTTTTTTGCGTAATTTCTGATTACTTTCCTTTATCATTCCTGGCTAAAATTAACAGAATCACATAATTTCACATTTTTGGGCTCAGTTTGCATAATTTCAGAAATTTTTTTAACATAAAACTGCGGGGACAGATTGTCAAAAGCTTCTGAGCAAGACCCAAGACCTCCCCGCAGACACTCACATCCGTCAGCAGTGGTATGGTCACCAACAGGCCCCGTGCCTGAAGTCCTGGTTGACCCTGAGTTGAGCATCCAGTCAAACTGGTCAGTGTGATCCTGGGACCAGGCACACAGACCGCTCTCAAACGTGCAGTCCACCACTCCGGTCGGCTGTTGGGTGTTGGGCATGGGTGTCGTGGTGATGCGAGTCAGAGGCCGGGCTTCTTGGGGGGACACTGCACAAACAGAGAGCAGACACATGAGTTGACATCTGGTGTAGTTGCTGTTGTTGTTCTTTTGTGGTGGTAGTGGTGGTGGTGATGTTGGTGGTGACTGTGGTGGTGGTGGTGGTGGTGGTGTCTTTTATCTGTTATTGCTTCAGTTGTTGTTGTTGGGGTTGTAGTGATGGTGCTGGTGATGGTTGTGGTGGAGGTGGTGGTGGTGTCTTTTGTTATTTTTTGTTGCTACTATTGTTGTTGTTGTCGTAGTAATCGTGGTAGTAGTGGTGGTGTCTGTTATCATTTATTACTGTTGGTCATGGAGGTGGTAATGGTGGCGAAAGGGTAAATAACATAATACAAACATACAATGTAACATGCAGACGATTTCATATTGTACAAGTACAAATTTTATTCGTGAAAAATAAATAAGCCACACCTGAAAAGAAGAGAACATTACTGACTTTCACGACAGATAGGCATTAAGAGAGTAAAATGCATTACAAAACCTATTCAAGACTAAACGATTTGCAGGCTTACTTCCGCATAAACTTTTTTTAACCAAGTGATTTCCAAATGAACAGATCCAGAATAAAAAGGTGACAAATCCTCCATAAAAAAAACAGACATTTCTACTACATTCCTTAACAAAAAAGTTATTTCAATTGGAAAAAGTTTACAACACGTTCGTTTACAGTTTCTACAAATTAGAAGGATAGAATGATTTAATAAACATATAGGCAAAAAAAGGAAAATCTTTATGAATATAAGCTTTAGTTAATTGATGCTTGGTGTTGAAGTGCTACTTACATGCACAGTTAGAAGCAGAAAAACTGACATCATCAAAGCCTATGCCACCAGTTGGGTTGGTCACATTGGGCCCATAGACAACTTCCATAATAATAAGATAGTCTTTGGAATTAGCAGGAATTGGCAATTGTGCTTGCATCCAGGTAGTTTGTGGCTTGGTGTTCTTGAGTTGCCACAAGTACTGATCCTTACCCAGATCTGAAAGAAAAGATGAGATGAGATGAGATGAGATGAGATGAGATGAGATGAGATGAGATTGGATAACACTTTATTGTCCAAGTGGAAAATGTTTTGTTGCTTTACGGGAATGGCCAAAACCACATGTAGATCTATAAAGCTTTGTTGTCACTGAGCAATGCTAGAAATATATGTTTATAAATAAAAGCCGAGCATTAAATATGCCCCTTACCAACTCATACTATCGGAACAATAATGATCTTCTGGGAGTATCTGAACAGAGTAATGAAAGGGGATCCATGATTGCCAACATCTGTCTGAGATTTGGCACATGAAGAAGAAGATGAGGTATTCATATTCTTTAATATTATCAACCATATCATGACATGCATTCAAGGTACAGGCATTTTATATACATGTATTCTAAAAAACAAAACAATGAGAAACTGCTTAACAATGGTATCAGGTGTAAACCAGGAAAATTGATGTAAGCCTTTTTTCAGATGGGGTTAAGAAATTGTGTAAATTAGGAAAAAGGAATGCTTATTGACCAACTTTTGTGTAGGCCTACAGGTTTTAGGAATACAAAGGATATAAGCGTTCGGAGAGAAGAAAAGTGAAGACGAGTCCTTCTGTTTATAATAATATTATTCACATTATGAATAGTTCATTAGACAATGATTGACGGTATCCAATTTATCTGCAGAGAACATCTTTTCAGCAAAAAAAGAAGAAAAAAGGATTAAGATGACTTGCAGCTTCTGCTATGGCCAATGAGACCAAATTTGGCAGAGAAGAGTTTGTCACACTTTGAGCATCTAAAAGCTTCCGTTCCCCTTGTGGATGTAGGCAGCTGGTGGGCTTCTCTCTTGGTTTCAGCATTTCTCATATGTGAAGTCTCATATGATTTTCTGCTATCGGTGCATTGCTACTCTCCAGCTAGCTCTGTTAGGACCTAGGCACCCCCCTGTCAAGAGAATTGTGTTGAAGTCCTTATGCTTTTCAGAGGACATCTCAGAATAAAAGAATGTCTTCGAGATCCTAAGGTTAAGGTTTTTAACCTAAAAGACACAATAAAGAGAAGAGAAGCCAGCTTTAGCACTAAAATAAAGAACATGATTGGCCACAGAGTTATTGTACCTGGGACTCGAAGTATCACGTTGAAAGTGGACTGTAGATTTCCACTCATGAAGTACCAGAAGGTCATACATCGTCCCCGGGAAGACAACGGAGGAAACGTCTCGCTCAGTAGCCAGGCCTTGTCCCCTTGATTGTGAGGCTCTTTGTGAGACACAAACATGAAGCCACCTGAAAAATGGAGAAGTACTTTAGTTTTAGTAAGAGTTTTACAGCACTTGCAACACAATAAGGTCATGTAAGTGCAGAAGATTAGGGGTGTTACAAGAGAGCAACAAACATAAAAAAGAAAGAGGAGAGATAAAGACGATAGTAGTTTTATAGCAAAGAAGGTGCAAACCACACCAGAGCACCCGCCAACCACCCACGGAGAAGTACATGTAGAGGGCGGGAGAGTCAGTCATCAGGGCATTGGGGTGGGTTGTTGGTTCAAATCTCAATCAGCTGTCTGTAGTGGAATATAGAAGTGTGTGGTTATCTCAGCTGGTGTCATGATGGATCAAGATGGAAATAACGTTTTCATCTCTACTGGGAATTGTTTTTAAAGTTTGGGTTAATCGGGGAATTTTTACAGCATGAGTATGTCAGTAAGGGGAAAAGGCTGAAATGATATAGGTTTCTTTGAGCGGATAAAAGACACCTACATTTTTTTAAAGTCTTAAGTCTTCTCTTTTCTATAGCTTCACTTGCCTTGAGCAGATCCCTGGGAGTGGTCAGTGGTTGGAGTTGACAGGGCCGGAGCAGGTCGTTGATTTCTCCAGTCCAGCTGGTCATTTCGTCGCTCGTTGGTCCAGCTGCAGAGACCACTGTCAAAGTCGCATGTACCTGTGACACACGCACAAACACACCGTCAGACTCATAAACACAACACTTCGACAATACATGTGCAGCATCAGTAGCATCAGTAGTCCAGTGGTTAGGCTCTAGGACTTTAAACCTAGGCCTATAGGTCGTGAGTTAAGATCCTTTCAGGGACAAGATGTTACGTCCAAGGGACTAGCATCTTACACAAATTTTCCTCACGTCACCCACCTACGAGTGGGTACCCAGCTATAGACAGCGAAAAATCCTATCAGTTTGTTAGTGTTTGATTTCTTAATCTACAACTAACACTGTATGCTTCTCCGGAAGCCAAGAAAGTGTCCGAGTGCACTAGAATCTGCAGGGGTAATAATAGTTGTAAAGAGCATAGAACATGCTGTGAGTGTGGATAGGCAATATATAAATGCAACCAATATTTTCTTTTTGTTTTTATTATTATTATTACTATTATTACCGCAGTTACTATTATTATTATTATTATTTTTATTATCATTACTATTATTATCCATACAGTAATATTGAATCACTTTAATGGAATGAGTGACTTTTTTCAGTTACGACATTCAGTACACCTCATCACACATGTTCACAGGCCTGATCATGATAACATTAAGGTCAAAGTAGTTACAAAAGTTCTTGCTCGACTTTACATCTCAAGGAAGGGGGGTGAGGGAGGTGGGGGGGGGGGTAGAAACACGTTGCCAGTCATCGCTTACCTGGGTTCGAGCACCCTCCGAGAGTGAACGATATGTCATCGAGAGCAATATCAGCACGGAAATTTTTTCCCCTGATTCCTTCAAATATGACCTGCCGAGATAATTTGGTACCTTTATTAAGTTGCTACTTCTATTTTGGTTTTAAATCTAATAATAATGATAAGAAGAAGAAGAAGAATACTAATAATAATAACAATAATGTAAAAGCGATAAGAATAATGATGCATCATCATTATCACCAACATTATTACCATTATTACTATTCCGATATTATTTTATTGCCATTGTTATTACTATAATTATATACTAAACATAATAATAGTTGGAATATTAATGATAAGGATATGATAATTTAATTATTATGATTATTATATCATAACAATAATAATAACTGTAATAATCCTAACATGAGAATAATAATAAAATTAACAATATTAATCACAACAAAAGTAGTAACAATAAAAAGTGAATATAAATAGCATGCACGCACACAAATACACACACACACACACACACACACACACACACACACACACACACACACACACACACACACACACACATATATATATATATATATATATATATATATATATATATATATATATATATATATATATATATATATATATATACAAACGCACACACAAACATTTACGCCTTTCAAAATATTTTAACATTTTCTTTGAAATATAAGAAAATAGCTAAAATCTGCAAAATGAAAAAAAAACTGGTGCATTAACAGGACCATTACCTGATATGAAGACTGGAAACTTGCAGTTGGTATGTTCACTTCCGCCACAATCCATCGCTGACCATGGTCGCCAGATTGAGTGAACACAGGTACGCTGACATTGGCCTGACTGGTGGGCTAAAATAAGAACAACAAATAATTGACGCATGAAGGTGCTGACATTAATTATTAGATTATAATTAGATTAGTAATTAGATTAGATATTAGATGATTAGATGTATCATTATTTTCCAGATCCTGGCACATTGGTTTGGTGTTTCACCTCATACACACATACACACATACACGTCCACATGCACACACACACACACACACACACACACACACACACACACACACACACACACACACACACACACATACACACACACACACACACACACACACACACACACACACACAAACATGCACAAGCACGCAGTGTGCTTGCATTCACAAACAGGCTTACAGTCACATGCATAATATAAACGAACAGTAATATTTTATATAATAATGTTAAGCTAGATACATACTCAGTATTCTGATTGAAAGTCATTGACACTTTGATATTTTCTTGACTAGAAGATTGGGACTGTCATGACATCTGACAGTACTAGCAACAGATCCAGGTCTACATTTTAACATTCTAAAGGTGAAAACGATCTCAAAACGTTAAACAGCTAACAAATTACTTTTTCAACAATTCTTTTTGTAACAAGCAGTCATAACACAAATTAGTAGACAATGACAAGGCCTTCCTCTGGACTCCAGAACAGCAAGAGAAGTAATGGAAGACTCAAAAACACTTGGAGAAGAATGGTCAAGACAGAGACGAAGAAATATAGAAGACCTGGAGCTTCAATAAGATGTATAAAAATGACAGGACCGAATGATTTTCCATTATGAAGATCTTATACACATCATTTAGAGAAGAGGACTGACACAAAAAATGTTGTCACAAAAAAATTAAACTCGGCACTACCTAGGATTGGTTCAGACTTACAACATGCAAAAACCATGCAATCATTCAACAAAATTTAGCAAATACAAGAGATGCAATTACAGATTAGTGTCAGCACTTAGATTTTGAACTGCAAAAAATAATTACAATTTAAACAGTTCCAATTTCCATCGCTGTATTCCTAGACAGACCACCTTACCTTGACATAGACATTCAAAGTACCAACTCCATTCCCATACATATTGTAGAAGAAATGCATGCACGTGTCAAATGTCCTCGGGTTGCTATACACGGGTGAGTTCAGTCTCGATTTTGCTCCAATGTGGACGTTAGATGCATCAATGAAGACATAATGGCCTGGGAATTGAGAGATTTCAATATATATATATATATATATATATATATATATATATATATATATATATATATATATATATATATATATATATATATATGAATTAATTTATTATAGAAGTATCTAACTGGAAAAATAGAAAGCAAAAGAGGCAGAGGTAGGCCAAGAGTAACTTACATGGAAAACTTGAACAGATGGGTGATGTCAAAAGATCAGGATAAAAAAGAGTTTTCTTAAAGCATCCATAGAAATAAATTAGTGTTGAACTATTGTTGCCAATGTCTGTTTCAGGTCAGGCTGTTAACACTTAACCCCCAGGGGACGCTGATCATCGGCGGTAAGAAGTTGTCCCTTTTCCCCACAGGACGCCGATCGGCGCCGGTGTGATATAGCATGTATCTCACCTGTATTCTGGTCTGTGAGGATAAGTGTTGCGCGCTCTGCGCACTGCATGGGTGGAAAATGTTAAAGAAGAGGAGGAGGAGAAGAAAAAAATATCTTTTTAAGACTTTGCACTTGAAGAAGAAAAAGAAAAATAGACAAGGAAGGAACAAGACATCTTGCTGCCTGTTATGAACTTACCCTGTCGGGTCTGATAGGTGTGGTCATTCCGGGGGCCAGTGCCCTGACTTCCAGTGGTCTGTGAGGTAAGCTTCCAGTTAAAACTGTTGGACCTGGGATTGGTGTAGCCGCACATCTTAGCTCCGTCTTCAAAGTCACATGACTGGAGGACAGTACCAATCACAGGGGATGCAGTGGTGGCGCCTGGCTGGACTGTCGTTGAAACATCTGACAAGTGATAAATAAATAAGTTTAATATTGATATGACTACAGCTTCTACAACAACTACTACTACTCTTGCTTCTACTATTACTACTATAACTACAAGTATTGCTACTACCAAAACTACTACTACTACTACTACTTCAACTATACTACAACCACATCTACTAACTACAACTACACAATAAAAATCATTTTGTGGAGGGAAACAGACAGAAAGACACACTCGCACACACACACACACACACACACACACACACACACACACACACATACATGCACACACACACATACACACAGATAGACAGACAGACAGAAACAACAGAGGAAAAGAACAGACACAGAACCTAGCAGTGGCACCCTCCAAGCACCTGCGATAGGAGTATGTTTGTGGATGGCCAGTTATATTGCACTATGAAGCATCACCTGCACAGAGCCCATCCTGAAGTCTGATATCATCAATGGCAATGTCACCCTGGAAGCTGGAACCCCGGATAGCTTCGAAGACAACCTGGAACAGAAAGTTAAAAGTTAACTCTTTGTCTATGGCAAGACGCTCCCAGTCGTTCGCAGTCAGAGCCGCCGTGCCGGTGACAGCAGCTCAGGCACATTCCTTTACGACGACGTCGACATCAAATTATTTTTCGGCAATTGCTGGAAACAGATTTCTTTTACCGGAAGTTCATTCATTAGAAGAAGAATTATCAAAATAGGTGCTAGTTTTGATTTGATGGCCCATTTATGACGTTTTTGTCATTTTTAGATTTAGCACAAAAAGGGTCCCTGACTTAGTGGGTTTACCCCCCTCGGAGAAAAAGAGTTAAAGTCTTTATTTACAGTCTGTTAAAAGTTAAAGTGTTTATTTACAGTCCTGTACCCTCCTGAAGGTTCTAGGAAATTTCTTACATCATTTCAACAACAATGCTGCATTAACAGAAACTCCGCTTTTTTATCAGAAGCATTAACTCTTTATATACCTTCTGCCACTTCAGCTGGCTAATGGTATCCTTCAGTAGTTTACAGTCTCTGTTTAGAGTTTTGGAGCAATTGCAACACAAACAGATCTTAAATGGGACATAGATTAGAGGTGTTATTACTAGTTAGTAGTATACAAAGAAAAGAAGGAGGAGAGACAAGGACGACAGATGTTTGATATGAAGGAAGAAGGAGCAAACCACACCAGACCACCTGCCAACCACCTACTTTGATATGCTTGTACATAGGAGAAAAGGATAACAGATGTTTGAGATAAAGAAAGAAGGAGCAAACCACACCTGACCACCTGCCAACCACCCACTTTGATATGTGTATACGTACGGCATAGTCGATATTGTCGTTGATGGAGACAGACGCCTTCAGCCACTGGCTTCCTTGGGAAGAAGAACGCGTCCACCTGGGGTTGGCTAACGGCTGGGAGGCGATCTGTAGATACACATTGAGGGTGCCTGCGCTGCTGCCTTGCATGTGGTACCAGAAGGTCAAGCACTGGAACAAGAAAGAGCAAGAAAAAAATATTTAAAAAATAGAGTCAAACCTGCTCTAACGGCTGTTAAAAGTAAAGTTGTTCCCGCTTCTGATCCCGACATTGGGGGCCTTGTTAGTGAGACAACTTCCTGGGCCTTCAGCATATTGTGTTAGGGTGGCCAGTTCCTTTCCACGCCGCTTTTATTTCCCCAACTCGAAGTCAGGTGCCCATTACTGCTGGGTGGGCAGGAGGGAGTGAAAAAAATCTGTGCCCAAACCGAGGCTCGAACCCGGACTTTCTGCTTCAGAGACGAGCGCACTGACCGCTCTAACGGCAGTTACATTGTTGTAATTTATAACACGTAATTCATTGTAATGCGAACATGAATCATTACTAATGTCCAGTAGTCTAAAACCCATTAACAACTTTCCGAAGAGTTGTACAACGGTGCTCAACTAATGACAAAAGTTCATTAAACCTGTTGATCTTGACATTTCTGTGTTATCGGTTATTTCTCAATTATATACACAAGAACATAACAATGGCCACCTGTCCAAGACAATCATCTACACAAACAGTCACTTCCCACTTCCCTGTCCTGCATTTTTCAATATTATAGTGACATTGTCCAATACATCCACCTACCTAAGACAACTACTTTTCTTCTCGACAGTGGGTGGCCTTCTTGGACAATTTTGGCTGTACCTGTAAAATGTGATGAACTTTCCTTCTTGTGGAAAGCCCAGCAACCCCCACCTCTTTCAACTGCCAAAAATCTCAACTTCTTTTCAAGACGGGTGAGCATTTTTTTTTTTATCAAAAGCAAGACAAATGAAAAAGCTATAAGAATATATCAATAACTCCCTAGGCCCAAAAATTGACAAGTGTTTGATTCCACCACAATGTGACACATAAAAAAATATTGTTTGCTTTTTGATCCATGTTTTCTGTTCTTGTATGACACAGCTGCAACATCACTGTAACTCCCCCCCACAGTGATACCAGATCTATGTACTATGTCGAGCTGGTTTTGAAAGGGAGGGGAGGGGGTGGGGGAAGGGGGTGGCCAACACTTTACTTTCACCAGAGAAATTTATCAACTCATCCCTCACCTGTAGAGGTCCCACTGGATGAATTGTCTTGCTCTGTATGCGAGCGATGTCTCCGCGATGGGCACCACTTGCCTCCATGTAGATGTAGTACCCATCTAGACAACAATGTTAGAACAGATACAAATTTGGTCGTAGTAAGAGTTCTATTGCACTTACAACATAAATAGGTCCAAAGATCAAAGAGTGACATACAAAAGAAAAAGGAGAAGAGATAAGAATGATCTATGTTTGATAGGAAAGAAGGAGCAAACCACACCAGAGCACCCGTCAACCATCCACATAAAATGAGTAAACCCAATAAAGACTTCATTACACAACAGGTCAGAACAATATCAATAGCAACAAAGAAAAGAAATACAAAGAAACCCATTAAAACACTGAGACCCAAGACTGTAATTCCCAAATGTCAATGTGGGATGCAGTATTTTGAGGTGTTTTCAAACAATTTCTGAAGAGACTCCAAATAAAGATAGAGGTGAACAGATTTTTTTTCAATTCATATTCCTTATCATGTAAATAAATATGAACCATAAAACTATGATTGTAATCACAGCCACTGTTTTCTATTGGGATCAGAAACTGAAGGCAAAATAGAAGACCATAAATAACTTATTTATAGAAGTATCAGCCATGTCCAGGTGCTGTTTTAACCGCAAAATAGAAGCCTTTTAAGATTAATGTTAGCTCAAACAGACAGACCTCCTAGACAGACCTCTAATCATCAGCACTCATATATGACAGTACTGTGTTTCAATCTAAGTCAGACAAAATCCAGACAACTTCAGAAATCCCGATTTCCAGATTTATCCGCAAAATCAAAATCAGCACTTCTATTACAGACATCAGTCATGCATCTTATCCATCCACAGCAGCTTCTGTCATTCTAGAGCTTACTTCCCGAAGTGTGATCTCCCTGTGGCCCCGTGCCTGAACTGGATGTTTTTCCTTTCTGCCGAGTCCAGTCAAGTTTGTCGTTCTTCAACTGACTCCAGGAGCAGAAGCCACCTTCAAACTGGCATGACACCGTATCTGAGACAGAAGAGAATGAATTTCAATAAAGGGGCTGTCAATATAATAAGTACACATTTCACAATATCACTTTATACCCATTATCTGAAACTGGCATGACACTGTATCTGAGACATAAGAGAATAAATTTCAATAAACAGGCCATCAATATAATTGGTACACATTAAGTTTTATCAAAAGTGCTTTGAACATTTTTCTCAAAATCATGAAAAGTGCAATTACATCACTCTTCCTTCGGGCAGCAGCATTGTGGGTAGAAAAAGGATCAAAATCCCTTTTACATTAAAAAAAACAGTGAACTGAAGAGTTTAAAAAGTTCATCTTCAAAAGAACCTTACTTGGGTTGTTAGTTGCTGGTGCAGAGGTCGCATGTGTAGTAGTGGACGGTGGCAGAGTGACCACACCTCTTGGCCGGGCTTTGTATGGGCTCACTGGAAAGGTAAACAGGTCAACAAGTCACAAACACCTTCAACGGGTTCTTTTTTTCCATTTTTCTATGTCCATAAGCCCCTGATAGTTTTCAAGAGAAGTTGACAGTCAGACCTTCAACCAATAGAAAAACTAACTTTTTAACTAACGCAGTCGTTTCTCTCACAAGAATGTAATGATGATGTTCGTCTTTCAACCCATTATGCGCAAATTTCAAAGACAGCAAAAAAAAAAGAAAAGAAATAGAGAAGAATTAATTACTAGTCACTCCACCATCCTCGTCTCATTTCTCCCCCACCCCTTTTTTTCTCCTCTCCCTCCCCCAAACCCCATCCCTTTGCACACATGCAGCATCAATGGCTCTGTAAATTAAAAACGTAAACATCTGAGCAAAAGTACAAGTTGTAAAGAGGGAAATTAATTCTATTTCTCTTTGACTGAACTGATTCATACCTAAGGAAGACACTAATACAATAATAATAATAATAATAATAATAATAATAATAATAATAATAATAATAATAATAATAATAATAATAATAATAATAATAATAATAATAATAATAATAATAATAACAATAATAATAATAATAATAATAATAATAATAATAATAATAATAATAATAATAACAATAATAATAACAATAATAATAATAATAATAGTTTGTCAGTCAATGTCTGACATTGATCAATACAACATCCACAGAAGACAATATTCCTCCAGCGAAATAGAAGAATTTGAAGAATTAAAGGTTACGATGACTTGTGGCGTCTGCTGTGGCCAACGAGACCAATTCTGGCAGAGAAAAGTTTGCCACATTTTGAACATTCAAAAGCTCTACACCCACCTGAATTCTACAAGAATAATAATGCATTAAATATCAGAGAGAAAAGCATACAGATTGATATTAAGACAAATTGGAAGATTTTTTTCCTGGTATAAATAATTCTACCAGCCATCATTATTTTATTAAGACCAAGACTACTCAATCTTATTCAAACATCCACAGAAATTCCAAAACTGTTTACCATTGCAGTAGGATCTCCGGAACCTGAAATCATCCAGAGCAATGTCTCCTTGCTTCCCTGACCCAGTCACAGACTCAACGATAATCTGATGGGGGGGAAACAAAACATTTGCTGTTGACAAAAGTTGTATTTCTTCACATGAAACAGTGCTCAAAGACTTATTTACATTTACATTCCATGTTTACCTCAAATTTCTAATTGGGAATACGTAAAATTAATATTTTTCTTACTTTAAAAAAATGTCTTTTCATTTTCTTTCTTTTCTGACCTTAGAACCCCCCAGGGTGGTCCTTCTTACTGAAATATCTTTAGGCCATTCCCAAAGGGGGGACATTACCATGTTCTGGTGCACAGTAAAATTGTAAATGGGGTGATTCATCGATATTATGCCGGAATTGCAACAGGGAACTGCTGCTTTTTCTGTCCTCATCCTTACTATCGTCAATTTTCCTCTACTTCTTTTGTATGTTTGTCACTCTCTTGTGACACGCTATTTCTGTGGTGCCTTGATTGTTCTAGCAGACTTTGTGCTGTTGAAACTACAGAGGGGAGCAGAGTAAACCCGATTCCCTGTCAGGACTTCTCTGTTGACTTCCACTCCTTGGCACTCTTATGACCTTATGCAGTTGCGAGCTCCGCAAAAACATCTACTAAAACTAAAACTGACCTGAGAATTTTGCGTCCTGCTGGATCTCGGGGGGCTGAATCCTCCATACGTCCAGCTGTTGCCCTGATTTCCCGACAGAGTCCACACCAACTGGGTCACTTGATTAGTTCTGACATAGAAATTCAGCTTACCGATGTCTGTGCCGCGCATGACGTACTTGAAGTTGAAGCAAGTGGACCTGCGAGGTGGGGGGATGATGGTGCTCACCAACCTTGCTGTGTCGTTGGGTTGTCTCGGAGGATCAGAGTCAGTGAAAATGTAGTGCCCTGACACAGAAAATTTAAGTCAGATGAGACCACTAGGCATAAAATGACTCCGACACTTCATATTTCAAGACAATAAGAAAAACTTGCGTTGTATATGGGGCGTAGGAAAAGGAAGCGGGGAAGATACAAAGAGAGAATAAGCAAGAGAAAGAAAGGGAAAGAGAGAAAAAAAATAATGAAAAGGGAGAATCCGGGGTGGCAACATTATCAAAGGAGAGAGAGAGAGAGAGTTAAGTTTTATGGACATAGGGGTGAAATGACAAAGTGAAGGTAATGTACACATGACTCTCACAGGCCCCATTCTTGTATTGGAACATTAAGGACGCCTTGAAGGAGAGAGGAGAGAGGGGGAGGGGGAGGAGGTGCAAAGATGTTTGACACTCATGAATACAATAAAAAGAAGTTTACTTACGTGGATAAAAAGCAAACAATAATAGTGCCCTTGTTATCTACCAGTTGTGCAATTGTTTACCACCTACTAGAGGGAGTTATGTATGTGAAATAGCAAAAGAATTCATTCAAAAATGTAGTATCCGTTCGTACTAACAGAAGAACTGAGAGTACTTTTTTTTTAAAGAATGAGTCCAAAGAGACCAAAGAGATCTATTGTACAGTTGTTTTGGGGCCTACCTGAAGCATTTCTGAAGGTTGAATCAGTCAAGGGCCCGGTGCCGTATGTTCCTGTATTGCCCTGAGTGATGATCCAGTCAAAGTTGTCGCCAACATCGTTCGTCCAAGTACACAAGTCATTGTTCTCAAAATCACAGACACCTGAGAAAGAAAGGAATCTTGCTGTCAAAATAAGGATAGCCTACCTGAAGGATAAAGAAATCTTTTAATATTATAAATGAGTGTCAAAGATTCACTAAAGAATGGTGTGCTTGTGGAGATTCAATAACGCATTAGCGGAGGAAGGAACAAAGTAAAGGAAAAAATGCATTACTCCATGACGGACAAATACTGTAAACGTGTCTTATTCGCTCTGCATGAATTTGCCATTTTCGCTTTGTTTAAGAAATTCGAAAATTCAAATCCTTCGCAAAATGTTAAAACGATCAAAGGTATTGTCCATAACGAGTACTTATATACATCACTTTCACAAGAGTTCAAGGTGGCTTCGGTAGCCTAAGGACTCGTTGGTTCAGGATTCGAGCCTCAGCTCGGTCCGACGTTGTGTCCTGGGAAAGGCACTTTCACAAAATTAATGTCCTATTTGGCTCAGCCCTTTTGGAGATGGACGTTAAACTCGGGGGTCCCGTCTCTAAAATAGCCTAATAGTGTGGATAGAGGTGTTAAACCTATACCATTTCACCATTTTCACAAAGAATTCAGACAGAACATGTTACGTTATGTCCCATCTGTGTGCGCTAGTATGATCCACGTATAAATTCAGCACGCAGGCCGTGTTTTCTTGAAACTTGTTTTCTGCACTGCACAGCATTGAAGTTCGTTTACTGCACTTTTGAAAATGAGATGGGCGTATTTTACTATGCAATTTGCAGTACGTCAGACAACATTCATGACACTCAGCGACTCAACGTGTGGGTTCAAAACGTTCGCGAGAAGCGAAATGAGCGAAACGCGAAAAAAAGAGGGCACCAAAAAAAAAGAAAACTTTTTAGGCCTATCGTATATGTTACCCCATTTGAATTAGCTTTGATTCATTTTGCTCTAAGAGATTTATGGTGAATGGTTGGCGGGTGCTCTCGTGTGGTTTGATCCTCATTCCCTATCAAACATCTGCTGTCCTTCTATCTCCCTACTTCTGTTTGTATATTACTATCTTGCACTTTGCAACTATAATCTTCTGCACATATATTCGTACGTCGTGTTTTTCTATGGTATTCATAAGATGTGGGGAACTCTGTGCCTCCACTTTCCAAAGAGGAAATTTACTCGTTAATCCGATCCGTACGCTTAGCACAGAAGTCTGTGAAAATGATTTTTTTTTAGAAATACTGAAAGTTTCAAGGAGATCTTCGCACTAGAAATATTATAAAATGCGAAGATTACAACCCCGGGGGTACAAAATGACCCCAGGGGGCACGGATAAAGTTAATTGTGTTGCAAGTGCGTAAAAGTCCTACCTTAAACTAAAAGAGATACATATTGTATTTTCTGACTTTTCTTAAATTGTTCAATAATAAGATGGATTTTGTTAAAGTTTCGTAAGTTTCGTTCAACGACAAGTAAAACCCAAAAGAGACTTGCCCACGGGTTCACAAGCGCCTGTTCTGACGGTGACGTCATCAATGGCAAAACTTCCTTGGTGCTTACTCCCGACGGTCCCTTGGAATACAACCTGGAAAGAAAGAAAGAAAAAAAGAATTAAAATACGTTCATCATCATCCGGAGCCTTGCCGACTGGCGTGGGCGATCATGGACCTCCATATGATGTTAGAATACGTTACAAGCTCTAAATAAATGTATCAAATCACAGTCCAGTCGTGGTGAAAAAAAAGTGCAAAATTCCTTCGGTACGCACATTCTTTTGGGAATGAAATGTCCCAGTTCAGAGCTAGCGCTACTTTACCGTAAACCATTGAAAAGTCAGTCCTGTGACTATGTTGCAAATGCTTGCAATTCTGAGAGTGCTCGTACTGATTTCTCGGACCCATTCGTTTAGTCTCTTTGATATACAACTTATTGATAAATATTGTTTCTTCCTCGAGAATGACTGAAAATTGGCAAATAGTTTCTCACTTTCTCGCTCTCCCTCCCTCCCTCTCGCTCGCTCTCTCTGTCTCTCTCTCTCTCTCTCTCTCTCTTTTTTTTTTCTCTCTCTCTCTCTATCTCTCTCTCCATCTTTCTCTTTCTATCTCTTTTTCCTTCTCTATCTCCACCTTTCTCTCTTTCACTCCATCTCTCTCCATCTCTCTCTCTCGCTCTCTCTCTCTCTCTCTCACTCTCTCTCTCTCTCACACACACACACACACACACACACACACACACACCACACACACACACACACACACACACACACATACTCTCTCCTCCCTCCCTCCCTCCCTCCCTCCTTTCCAAACAAAAATGAGTGTTAAAATCTACACGAAACAAAGATGAGGGGGATCGGGGAGAAAAGAAGGAGGGACACACGAGGAGAAAAAGTGAAAAAACCCTAAAACAATAATTATGGAGATGATCCGATTTATTTAAAAAAGAACGAAAGAAAGAAAGAAGAATGAATGAATGAATGAACGAATGAATGAATGAATGAATGAATGAATGAATGAATGGATGAATGAATGAATGAATGAATGAATGAATGAATGAATGAATGAATTAAGTACTACATGTATTCCCCACCTCATAGTTCTGGCTGCCGGCTGGTAGATTGACCTGGGCGACGTTCCACTGGAGACTGTTGAGATCCTTGACCGACCAGAGTGGGACGCCAAGTGCAGACGTCTTCCTGTAGACGCTGAGCGTTCCCGTGTGATCTCCCCTGATGCTGTACCAGAAGCGGAGACATTTCTGCTTGTCGGCTGCTATCTGACCGCTCTGGATGATGGCCTTGTCGTTGGTGTTGCCCTGAGACGTGTCCAGCAGGAGGAAGTGACCTAAGATATGCCCAAAAATGTGATGAGATAATTGGTGGCTTTTAAGGACAAGCGGGCTAACCCAGATTTCGGGGGTTTCTAGAAATCTTGACCTACACCAAAAGTGGGCATTGCCCTCCTACCTATAGGAGAAGTTTGGTTTCATTAGTCTGCATATTTGTTTGGTTATAGAGAAAACTCTCCTTGTTTTTTAAAGAGACTGAACAAGGGTTTTTAAAAATTTTACCTTCGGAGACGAGCGCACTAACCGCTCCGCCACCTCAAAACAGCATTTTTCGTGATAGCTCCGACCAATTACAAAAACCAAATAAGGTCAATGCAAATCTATGGTATGACTCTAACTATATCACTTTTGTATCTTGTGTTTTTAAGCACCCATTGAGACGATTTAAAGTAATGTTATCTCATGTTATCATTCCTCATCTTATCATTTCACACGTATGGCACCTCACCAGCTAGCCAGTGAAGCCTACTGCAGGAAAGTATCAGGGTACAAGGCAAGAGGGAGACCAAGAAAAACCTGGATTCAGGGTGTGAAGGATACCCTGAGAACATACAATATCCCACCCAGCCAGGCCATCAAACTTGCTAGAGACAGGAAGCTCTTTCTCCCCCTCGACGCCCTATTAAGGTACAAGAGGACGGATAAAGTAAAGTATCTCATCTTATCTATAATATAGTGTAAAGCGCATAGAGCCTGCTGTTGAGCGGGGATATGCGCTATACAAATGCTATCTATTATTATTATTATTATTATCTTATCGCTTATCTTATCTTATCTCACAGTACAACGCCTATACTGAACTGACCGGTGTTTGTGCCACTGGTGTGATCCACGTCCGGTACAAGGGTGGTGGAGGTGGAGCCTGAGGACAACGCCCACTTGAGGCTGTTCCCCGGGCCGTTCTGGTAGCCGCACAGGCCGGAGCCCTCGAAGTCACATGACCCTGACACTGGGGTTGTAGAAGGACCTGGAGAGTCAGAGCATACAAAATGTCATTAATGTTCTTGTAAGAAGGGTGGTTGGCGGGTGCTCTGGTGTGGTTTGCTTCTCCTTTCCTATCAAACATCTATCGTCCTTATCTCCCCTTCTTCTTTTGTATGTTTGTTACTCTCTTGTAACATCTAATCTTCTGGCGCTCATATGACCTTATGCAGTTGCGAGTGCCATAAAACCTCTACTTAAACAAAAAAAAGAAATATACAAAATGTCGCCATGGTCTCGTAAGCGACTCACAAAATTTCGTTAATGTTCTCGTAAGAGCAGCCTGCGTGACCCCATCAGACACTACATCAACCAGCTGATGATGGAGACAATCAGCCTGCCCACACTGAAATAGACCCTTATAAAGAGGGGCGAGGAAACATGGAGCACCCCGTCTTTCTAAGACCCTATAGTTCTACATTCAAGTATATTCAAGTAAGTATGCAAAATGTCGCAATGTTCTCGTAAGCGAAACACAAAATGTCGTTAATCATCTCGAAATTTAAGCGACACACAAAATGTCGTTCGTAACCAATACGCAAAATGCCGTTCGCAAAATGTCGTTAAAAATCGTGTAAGCAACTCCTAAAATGTTGTGATGTTCTCGTAACTAACAAACAAAATCTTATATATATTCACAACATGTCGTTAATGATCTCGTAAACAACACACAAAATGTCTTCATGTTCCCGTAAGCAACACACAAAAGAGTCTTTAATATTCACAAAATGTTGACATTTTCGTACACAATTCGCAAAATGACGTTAACAGTATTGTAAGCCTCGCATGTAACGTTGTAAATACCCCGCATGCAACACACAATTTAATATGTGTGTGCGTGTGTGTGCGTGTGTGTGCGTGAGTGTGTGTGTGTGTGTGTGTGTGTGTGTGTGTGTGCGCGCGCGCACATATATGTGTGTATCTGTTTGTGTATGTGTGTATCTGTGTATGAGCGCGT